TGGTTATGGTGACAGGCCTATTTTCAGCCTTATAGCTACAATCTAACATTTAGGAGATGACAGAGCTGCCCTTAAATTAAACACATTTATTTTGCATAATGTCAGTTAGAGCATCTGCTTCTCTGTAATCAACTGTGAAAGGATAACGCATTCTCAAACGATCCCAAACAGCTTTACCCAGCACCCTAACTTTATTTTTCTCCTCGAATCCGACTTCACTATGCATACTTTGTCTTGCCTTTGTCAGGGGTACTCAGTGACTTAATTACAAAGAGTGATGTACTGACAGGCGGTTCAGAGTTAGTTGGGCCACAGCTGAGGAACATAATGGGAATTTCACATAAAAAAGAAGAAAGACAGCGGCATGGGAACAGATGGTCTGGTTTGAATATTGCTCTTTAGTGGCTCCCATATTAACCCAAGTTATAACAATAAAACCAGTGAGAAGAATGAGCCTGCGCTGACTGACCCTTAAGGATGTGGCTATAATGACCACAGAAATCAATACATGCTTTTACAATGTGCACACCTCCTCTGTGTGTGTGTGTGTGTGTTTGGGGTAATGCCGGGGCCCCCAGCTGGACTGAAGACTGTTTATATTATTGCTGATGAAAGAGCAGTCCCTAAGGAGTCTCCATAATGTGCAAGGAGGCCTCTCTGACTCCTATTAAAATCCTATGTGTGCGCGTGTGTGTTGGTAAAGAGCACACAATGGAACAGCTATATAATTGTCAAAGGAAGGACACACTTTTAACATAATAAAATGAATGTGATACACAAGGGGCAGGCATGTGAATGGATGAAAGCCTGTCCTGATCATAAAGACCGCCTCGGACAAAGAGACACTGTCCCGGGACACAGGGGGCCGCCAGCTGAGCCCAGAGTGACCAAGAACAGCAGGTGCTGTCAAGTGCAGCCCACTCACCGCCACACGGAGACGTACTACACACAGTACTACACACAGTACTACACATTGGCCAACATTTGTCACTGCGCTATAGGAACAACGGGGGGGTATCGACTTGTTTTTACTATTACCTTACTCAGAGAACACAAGGTAAGAGATTATAGTACACTTTATTGTCTCTGTGAGCAAACGTGTCCTCTTCATTTGACCCATTCTATAGTGCTGTTGGGTGACCTGCAGTGGGTGCCACAGTGCATCACCCAGGGACCCATCTCCAGACCTGGAGTCAGGCTGAGTCAGGACTACCTTAGGTGTGCATGTTTTGGGTTGACGGGGGAAACCAAAGTCCCCGGAGCAAACCCACCCAGACATAAGGAGAACATGCAAACCCCACACAGAAAGAACCAGGAACCTTCTTACTGTGAGGTGAGTGTGCTATCCACTCACTCACTGTTAATAGAGGAGGAAGTGGAAGTTTTGTTCACTCATGTTGGTAAATAGTTGTGAGTGGAGTGAACTTAAATTCTGAATATTGCTTGACTGTTGATCCAGAAAACAAATAGCCAGTGCAATTATTTATATATTTGGATCAAATGTGATTAAAGTATTAAAGTATGTATAGAGATACCTTGCACTTGTAAATTTCCAGTCTGCAAGGTGTATCTTGTAAACAAAGCCGTATGGGCAATGAAACAAAACTGGTGAACTATTGGATTTTTTTGAAGGCCTTAAAATCCAATGACTTTTCCCTATAGCATTCTCATGCATGCATTAGTATAATATTTCTGATTTTGAAATGTAGCAGTCATCTTAAAAAATGTTTGTATCTCCACTGTTATGTACCGCACCACACAAAAGTACCCTTATGTTAGCTCTCCAAACCATCAATGAGGCTATGTAGCATATCTTATGGGCTGTATGTCTGCATCTCTTATTTAAGGCTTAATAGGGACATTAGCAAGCTGTAAAGGGCTACAGTTTGTGTCCCTGCTCCTCTCTACCTCTCTGCGTGCTGCCTAACCTGCTATTTGGCTGCAGAAGTCATTGGTGTTGCCATATGGTGTCCCATTAGGGCCCTCTAAAGCCAGCCATCCAGAAGTGCCTCGCTGTGTGGATGTGTGTGAGTGTGTGTGAGTGTGTGAGTCTGTGTATGTGTATGTGTGTGTGAGTGAGGGAAAGAGCAAATAAGGGCTGGTGTGATAGAGCTGCTGTTTAAACACTTGAAACCGATTGTGTGGAAAACGTGGATGCACTCCTCTTCGGGCCGAGTCTTATCAAATTCAATCCCAAGCTTCTTCTATTGTTGCTTTTGTTTGGAGTGTCCACCTTTTTTGTTCTCGTGATTTGTTTTTGTGTGAATTTCTAAGTTGTTTTTGAACATTGTGTTCTGAGCATATCAAGGTGCTGAGGAAAAGTGTGAAAATTACAAACAGCACATTATTGTATAAATAAGGGCGTGTTGTAATTTCTGGTGAAACAGTTTGTTGGAAAAAGCAGGTGGTAATAAAACACTTGACACTAAGCACACTTTGGACAGATTATGTGTTACCGTGGCAGCATAATGTTTATAGATACAGCATTTAAATTGGCTTGATACATGACATTTTTAGGACTGTTATTTTGCAGTTGTGCAGTAATAAGCTTTTTGCCCATTAATGTGATTGTCAGTTGTTCCAACCTCATCTGAACTCCAGATCGCTATGCCTGAATTTCTAGCAATGCCCAAATGAAAAGCTTTTTCTGCCCGCTTTTTCTTCTGATGACTACTAAAATATTGAAATATTGTTATATCACGATACTGTTGTTGATACATTATAGCCTGCTGTATCGATACATCACCATGAGTATTTTTTGGCATTTTTACAGTTACAGTTTTGTTGCTTGTTTTGATGATTAAATTTCATAAAATTTAATAAAATTTCATATTGACTTTGCACAAGTAATGATTTAACAATAAAATATTGTTACTAAAATGTATTTGATTCTTAAAAAAACAGCAGTATATCATGTACAATATAATAATTATTACGTGTATCACCATATTGTGATAATATCATATTGTGAGCATGTATATTGTATTATATCAAATCACAAGGAACCATGTGTTTCCCAGCCTTTGTTCATTGGGGTGTTTGTTTAAAGTTAAGTGGGAGTCCCATTCATTTAATAAAGAACCAAGTCTTGCCACTAAATATTATACGAAGTAGGTTGATATATGTAAAAAAAAAAAAAAAAAGGTGGTGTCTTGAAAACAGATTTGTAGTCTTAGTTTAGAACTTATTTGCAGTCAAAATTGACAGCCCTATGCAAAATAATACTACAACTGTGGCAACTTCCTGAAAGAGGTCAATAAGTTAATGAGCACCAATCAAAAAATGAATTGGTCAAAGTACAAAAACACTCAATGCCAAAAAACAAAGCATGTTAACTTTCATTACTGACCTCTTGTGGCTGGTGGTAGTGTGTGACAAAAATTGATATCTCATCCTATCACTAATAATCTCTTTGAATTTGCTTTATACTCGTATTAAAGTCTGACATTTGTTTATTTATTTGCTCCTTTGTTTCCTCCTCTCTGTCTCGGGCCTCCTCCCTGTCTGTCCCTGATGCATGTGTTAATATATTTAGCAGTGCCATATCATACGCTGTGCTGACTTCATTAACTATCTCAGCATGAAGCTACACTGTCTGAATAATAATAACCCAACACACACATCACATACGCACACACAACACACATACACACACACAACGCATAGATTACTGATTACACTTTGCTTCATTATGATAAAAGCTGCTCATTTCAAAATACATCCTCTTAACCCCTCTATCCCGTTAGCGCATTTGTCATTTAGCAAGCCCCAGCTATTATTTATATTCTAATCAGGAATCAACCTCCTATAAAGACAATGGAAAATCATTCACTCTGGTGTTAACCCACGGGAATTGCTTCATAAATTAAGTCCCTTCAGGAAATGCATAATATTTGGGGCACATGTGGTGTACTGTACTGTTACTAAATATTGTAATGGAATTGTAATTAGCACTAGTTGGAAATGTATCTCTTGGGTTTTGAGAATTAAAAGTTGCAATATGTAACTTTGCTGGTAGAGAGATCACCACCTGTGTGTCTCCATGGAGATGTTATTTTCCTCGAATGTTCCACAGTATGGCGATAAACTTTTTTATCACCATGGAGACAAGCAGATGACTCCATCAGGCCAAGTTGCAGATATATCTGTGGAGAAGCTCACTCCCAGTAAGAATATAACGTTTTTCAAGTAAAATGTTAAGATAAGATAGAAGAGTTTAATGCCCCTCTGTGGAACATTCCAACCAAAGCTATAATAACTTCTTGGAGAATAACAGGCAGCGAACCCTCCACAATAGTAGTAGTAGCAGGAAATAGTAGTAGTTGTAGTAGGTGGTGGTAGTTGTAGATAGTGGTAGTACTTAGGGATGTAACAATAACCGAAATATTGTGATATCGTATCATCTAAGTTCTCACAATGATATCGTGGACCATCACAATATATCGAATTACAAGTCGCTTTCCTTAAATTAAGAGTTATGGTGCAGCAATAGCTTAAAAAAACACACAGAGGGAACTACATAGACCATGATCCTTTGCTCCATTTCAGTGCAAATTACATGAAGAAATAACAGTTCTAAGCACCTTTAAGTCTTAGTTCTTTTTAAGTCTTGTCAAGGCATTTTAAGAAGAAAAAGTAGCATATTCACGGTTTTAGCTGTTTAGCCTCCACAAAATATCACAATAAATATCATACAGTGAGATGTATATCGTGAAAATATCGTACAGAGAGATTTGGATTTTGTTACATCTCTAATCGTGAACCTTCCCGTCATATCGTGAGCTTTCCCATGATATCGCAATAAATATCGTACCATGAGGTTCATACCGTGACGATATTGTATCCTGAGACTTGGATATTGTTACACCCCTGGTAGTACTAAGTAGTTACATCTTCAACGTTGCCAGTATTAAATCTTCTCTCAAGCATTTATGTTGCCAGCTGCAGTTAGCCTATGGGGACATAGGATTGTCTAACAAATCTTAGCAATATAGAAAAATATGTTTGTTTCAGCTTGCAGAACAGGTGGCAACAGTAGAAAGACAAATCTATTCAGGTATTGTTATCCAGCAGCTATGTTCAGAATACCTTGATGTTTAGTTCATTGTTTCAAATTTGGAATATTACAATGCAGCATTTGTAAGTTTCATTAAATATTAGACAGTGTAATAAAACCATGCACTAAAATAACTAGTAACATTCAGTAACATATTTTTGCGTTACTTTTTAATCACAATATCTTCCCTAATCCATTTTCTAAGCATTTTTTCACTGACAGAAGCAGGTCCCTTCAGGGCTATCATTAACAGCCAAAACATGACCCCTACTGACAATCGCAAGCCCTGTCCTAGTTTCTTATATTTGGCTCAAATTTAGAAATTGATTGACTTGTGTTGTGTTGTGTCCTACTTTGTAATTCAGTCTTGTAATTGATGGTAATTCTACACTGTTCAGTAGCGCATTGTACGTCATGAAATGTACACCCCACATCCACTGCCTGCAACATGAGTCTTTATACAAATAGTAAAGTTACCTCTCACTCAGAATGTAGCATCAGAGCTGGAGCAGTCTATTGAATGTGTGTGGATTGGGACAAATTAACAGCGCGACGCAATAGTCCATGCTCAGTGCTTCAAATGACTCAATAGAGGATTTGAAGAGCACTTGAGGGCTTTAGACTGTGGTCGTAAAAAGGGCGCCATGACATTTTGTTGCTGCACCTGTCCGCTGTATTAGACAAATCCGAGCTCGGTCCGTAGATGACTTTTGGAGAATGTCATATGCACATATACTAACTGTGTATCTTTTCTGTATCTTCTTGCATAGGTCACGGTGTTGGAGCGACAGGTGATCGATTTCCTGGGGTATCAGTGGGCTCCCATCCTGACAAACTTCCTCCACATCATCGTCGTCATCCTGGGCCTTTTTGGGACCATACAGTTCAGGCCTAGATATGTCACTGGGGTAAGTTACACAAGACTAATACAAATGCCACACTGTGAAACATTTCAAGCCAATTCACACCTCCCACTTTTGATCTGGTGCATGTTAAATACTTAAATATATATTATACTTTTGAGCTTTTAGCCATGTTAGAATGTTGTTTCTTCATCAAAAACTCACCTTATTTCACCTTATGATGTCATGAAGCGGTAGTTTTCAAGTTACAGCAACAGCTGTCTTTTACCTTTTGTTTAGTAGAGATTGGCAATTCCAGGGCTGAAATTATCCCAATGATTCCAGTGAAGGTGTATGGAAGGTGTATTATACACTACATAACTGCTTGTCCCCTTCAAACCCCGGTATCTAAAAATGGCCGCCCATTTAAGTCAATGGTCTGAGCTCAGTGGCGCATGTCTCCAGATTAGCCTAGTCTGGCTAGGTACATCCGGTGACTCCATGCCCATTTAACATGCGCCCTAGAGCTCTTTTCTCCAGCGGGCCACACAAATGCATGAGAGCCCGTGCTCAACTGCATGTGAGTGTGCATTTTTTGCTGTAGTACCAGTGAGTGATCACTATGCCAGCTCACAACAGCTACAAGCTAGCTGTTGTGAGCCTGTCCAATTATTTTAATAGATCCACGGTCTCCATGGAGATGTTGTTGCTTTACCTAAATTGTAATATTACATATTAAAGCACACAAGAGTCAATTTTGTATAATATAGGGCTTTTAAATGTTAACATTTTTAGAGGAAAAGTAAAAAGTCACATTTCATTATTCAAACCATTAACGAAAATTGCACCTAGCTTCAATTTCAGCCTTTCTAAAATGATCTCAGGCAATATATTCCCTTCATAAATTGGATTAGCGAGAGACTGGAAGCAGATTGCAGTTCCACCTTATTTAGAGACCTTGTCCACGGTGATTCTCCTGGAAGAAGTTCAAACCCAGTGTCAACAGTTCACTTTGAGGTCACTTTAAAAATTTATTAACAAATCCATTTATTTATGATATTCACATGAATGCCTAAAGCCTTTAAAATACAACTTGTGTTTGCACAGAAAGATCACCTGTCTGATTCTGCTGTTGGAGATGAAAAAATTGGAATGTCTGTTTTGCTCAAAATTCAAAATCTTACAATTTTGTCAAATCTTTTTTTAAGAATAAACAACCAAAACTTGTGCCAGAAATTGTAACAGAAAAGCAAGATTCCTGTAATCACTGGGTACATTTTTAGATTTCTAGAATAATGAGATAACACAATAATTTGATCAGATTTTGTGTTTACATGCCCAAGAGCTAATCAGAATCATATATTCATTGCTGTGTTTTGAAGGCAAGGTGCAACAAATTTTAAAATAACTTTTCATAGCATAACATTTTCTCTTTCATTTTTGTCACATCAGTTTGCTTTTTTGCATCATTTTACTTTCCAAAACTTGTACATGTGTGAACAATCAGAAAGAAATCAGATAACTCACATCATGCAACTATTTAGATGTCATTTCTGATAACTCCACAAATCAGATAATGGCAGATTTTTGGCAGATACACAGACTCACTAAATTAGAGATGTTTGTAGGTTTGAAATTTCTGTGAGTATTTATGTTACTTCACATACTGGATCATCACTACTAACACTTTTCAACACTTAGTTCATAAACAAAACCTTCACCCACACCACCTCCCTGTGAGTCAGAGCTGAAGGAGTCCAAGTTCAAAACACGAATCTGTGTCCTTTTCAACTGCCTACAAAAACTCTACAAACACTCTGCAACTGTAAAGCTAATACAGTAATAAGCAAAATGTAACAAGATGAAGTAATCAAATGAATGTCACTGTCCAAAAGTATAATTTCACCGAATAGTTAAAAAGTTTATTGTAGTTGCATTTCCAGCGCTTTTTGCTTGTTGAAAATGTTAAAGGTTGTATTAAACTTATCTCTATGGAGACAAGTGAATATATCTTCAGATTTGTGAAGAGGAGACCCTACTTTACTGTCAGAAGTTATTATAATTAAAACAATTGTAACTGAATAAATGCAAAGTTATTTATTTATGCTGTTTAAAAATGTTTTCCATAACCATGCAGCCCTACTTCTTAAACTATTTACTGAAGATTTACTTGTTGTTTTTGTTGAGTTCTGGCCATCTGTGTTTTAATCAGCTTTTGCCACATCCTCTACCTATGCACAAAAATACAAAATTTGACCAAAATAAACCTCCATACTGTATATTTTCCCGATACTGTTTTGTTGTTTGGCTCTTCTCATAGCAGAATCTCCCGGTGAAGTGTTTTATTTTATTTTTGCGAGCGGTGATAGCTGCAGCCTGGGCCATTGTGGGTGCTCTGAATAAATTCTGAGGTTGAGCCGCAGAAAAGACAGAATGTGTGCATATTACATTAGCCTGGCTTTTGACTGGTCATGGTTTTATGGGAGAGTGGCACAGGGAAACAGAATAAATCTAGCGATAAAAGAACACCATTTCTGCACTTGACTGTGGAATTTCAGACAAGATTTTGGCTAATTAACCCTGACAGAATTATTGTCGAAATAATGACAGGCCATTATGAAGGGCTGGGGTTTGTGTTGGGCGATTGGGAACTAACTGGCCTGCACAAATAACAGTTCCTCTCTGTAATGAACGTGCCCTATCTTAGAGCGTAATGCTACACAACTTCATGTCGATGTAAAGCATGTGTTAAAAGCAGCCAGAAGTGAATACTGCATTAGTATGGGTAAGGTGGTAGTAATGTGATTTTTGTACTTGTAGTACTTGTCAATGGGGGGCTTCATTGCCTTTGATGCCTGAAATGTGCTCCTTTTCACATCAGTCAGGGGTCTGCACACTGGTGTCTATTGTACACGATAACTTCAATATTCGGAGTATAGTCTGTACCATCACAAGTAGTACAACTTTGGAAAATACTGTGTCAGGCAGTTTCTTCCAAATTTGATTCTTCCATGAATGATAATAATCATCCATACTTATATTAAAGGTGTACTGTGTAACTTTTCAGATGGAGGGTCTGAAGTTAATTGCTTTTCTTAGAAAGTTCCAGAGTATTACATTTAACAGATCTGTTTATTTATCTAAGAAGTGGAAATTGAATATAAAATGACATTTTTGCTGTGAGCGGGATCACCTCTCCACAGATCTCACCCATAACTTGGCTTGGTGGTGTAGTAGTTTAATAAAAGTTTAATAAAGTTTAAATATAAATTTAATAAAGTTTAATATTGGAAACAAACCGAGACAATAACATTTCCATATAGACTAGAAGGTGATATTCCCCCCAGCAGAAAAGTTCCATTGTGCACCTTTAAGTTGTTAGAACAACAAAAGCACAAATATCTTTATAAATGTCTCTTGGCTGTCTCTTTTTCATCAGCATACTGTTTAAAACATCAGATTTTACAAAAAGTGATTTGCTTTGTGAGAGGGAATCCAAATGTATTCTGACATTATCAGATTTGCCATAATTGTAATTTCACAGTGTGCACCCGTTTTATATCTTTTATTTCTACCCTGAAGGGACAACAAGGAAATCAGATCATATTTCAACATTAAAGAGACAAAAATCTACTTAAACGTGTAAATATTGTTATGTTTGGTCCCACTGTAAATCATTTTCTACATATTGTTGTTTGAGGCTGTGAATGCCTGAGCCTTTCCTTGCAACTATGGGCCTTAAGTGGACAAACCTGACATGGGCATACTCTTATGTAATGAACCCCTCATTTATTTTCAACAGGCAAATTAAAATCACCACAAAAAAAAAAACACTACTGTGAATTGTGTGTACCTTTTAGCGAGTCAAGCCAAGGCTACATTAACATTTCCCAAATTTGATCTAGTGCATGTTGAATGTTAAAAATTTGAGATAAAAAAAAAAGAAAAAAAAGACATTTGATTATTAAAACCATTAATGAAATTTGTACCAAGCTACTTAACACCACCAGAACACTACTCAACAGGGTACTAATAATATGAATGAAGAATGCCCATAGACACAACAGTATCTCAACAGTGTATGTGGCGTATTTTACCCCATCTCATTTAATGTAGTATTTTTAAAGTGTGTAAGTCTGTGCATAAAACAAAATAATTCTTTGAGGGCTGCACAATTCTGGTGATTTTTAATGTTGAGATTATATTTGCAATCTATGTTTTTAAATCGGGTTTTAAGTTTACGGAGCGTATTTTGAACACATCCAGGAGCATTAACATAAGAGAGAACACAGAAATATGAACTGCCTGTCTAATCCAAGAATCTTATGAATTTCAGAACATGTCTGTAGTGCTCTAAACTTAATGGTTAACAAGATTTGCATAGACGCTATTTTCTGATCTATGTTATAATGTTGATTCCTCATTGAAAACATAACTAGAGTTGTGTTTTGTTTCATTCATACATGTTTAATACACAGCTTTGCATATTTAGGCTGCGCTCTTCTCTCAAACAGAAAAAACATGCGGTGATACAGGAAGTGCTCCACTGTGTTTTTAAACTCCATACACCTTCACTAGAATCATTTGGATGCTTTCAGCTGTGGAATTGCCAATCTCTACTGAACTAAAGGTAAAATGTAGCTGTTAACTTGAAAACCACTACTACATGACATCACAAGGTGCAACAGAGGATTTTGAGCTTTGGAGATCTAGACAAAAACTAATAATAAAGGGTTACTCAAACATGTGTGAATGAAACAAAACACAACTCCAGGCCTGGTTTTGATGAGGTAACGTCATTATAACATGGCTTAAAGCTGACAAGAGTCAATTTTGCATCAATTTTCCTGTAATGATTTGTTTATTGCTCCATTTCAAACTAGCATTTTGATGTCATTGCGATATTTATATTATGCAGGCCTGTCTTTGATAAATAATTGCCACATATGTTTAATAAAGTAGCAGTAATATGTTTAGTAAAACCAGTGTCCATTAAACTGTCACTGCACTATCTGTGTATCAAGCTCTTAGAAAAACTGTAAATATATAAACGCCACAAACAAGTTTTCATACATTATTCATTTAAACCAGTCCCTTGCAGATTCTGTGTTGTAAAGCCTGGAGGTTATGTGTATTTGACATATGATAATGTTTAGAGTAAATCAATGCTTTTTAGAAGGGCCACCCATTCATAAACTTAAGCCGGATTCCCATAGGGCTCTTCTACACCACTCCCACACACTTGGAACCATTGACCCTGCACTGTCACGCACAGTGTTTACATCCTCATAGTAAAAGTCAAGCAAAGTTTTGTTAAGATTAAAACATTCAGCCTTCTTAATCCCTTATTTATTTTTGCTGTCTTTAAGTACACTTTGAAAAGCTACCGCTGCCTGTTTGTTTATACACCCGTCTGCTATTATTCAGGTGATTTGTGGATGTTGATTTTGTGCCTCTGCATCTTAAACACATCAAAAGTGAAGTGACGCTTTGCCTTTTCCTCACGTATTTATCTAAGACTAATATTATTCATTATAAACTATAGCTTAGCACATCTGAAGGTCGGGATATTTCAGATGACAATGGCAATTAAAATTCTTAACAACTTTGCATAACACATGAACTACAAAAATAACAGTCAACAGTAGTAGGCGAATGTAACAGATATTATTTTTGCGTAATGTAAATTAATGATAGAATACATACTGACAGATGTAATGTAATAATTTATAATAAAGTATGGATACAATGTGTATTTTTGTTGATAGGGGTTAAAGCTTTGCCTCTAATGTTTCACCGTATGGCGTTAAAGTGTCTAACTGGCCAAAAGCACTGCAAAAAACTTCTTAGACTTTCTAGACCTGACCTGGAAAACTTTAACTTGGTATGCTGCTTCCGGCTCCATCAGCTCTGTTTCCAGTTGACTTTCCAAGAAAAAATGGTCACCCCTCTCTCTGTAACTGCTGCTGTGAGCTTGTCATTTTGGTCTTAAAATGTTCGTATTAACACGCTCTACATGATCCTGGTGTTTTTATTTCGCAGTTTTGTTCATAAATAAATTCCTTTTCCTAATATAGAACTGGCTCCAAATTCACTCCTTTAAGCAAATCTGTAAGACCGGATTCATAAGAGAGCTGTAGTTAGTTGTTGTTTTTTTTGTTTTTTTTCTCTCACAGATTGGTCCATTAGTTTAATTTCCCAGTCTCCAAAACCCTACCAAATACTGATATTAGAAGACCACATGAGCATGTACTTAATATGCTCTCCTCACTGCTCTCTTGTTGTTTGCAGTATGCAGCCTGGCTGGTGGTGTGGATGACCTGGAACGTCTTTATCATCTGTTTTTACCTGGAGGTTGGAGATCTGTCACGGGTAAGGCCAACAGTGTTTTTTTTTTTTTTAATTTTGGTTTTACACTCCAGTCATGTATCTACTCCTCTAGCACAGTCAGCACAGTCAACACAGCCACATCACTCATACTTAGAGAGGCTTTATGTAGTAAGCGCAGCAAGACCCATTTAAATGCAACCAAAATCCTCAATTTATATGATAATGCTGGATTCATATCGGATTCGCTTTTATTTTAAGCTATCAGAAAATACTGATCTCGGTCTGGTACATTTTATACATGTAAGTGCAAGTTTGCACAATATAGGTTTGACCAAGAAGTCCAGAGTAAAGCTTGTATGGTAGGTATTGTGAACATATTGTGAAGAGATTTGGACATCAGAAAGTGAGCACATGAAATTAAAGATTAAATACTTATCTCGTATAACATATAAGAAGGTAGGGTTCATTTTACCTTTTGTCTCTTCTCATATTCATTCACTCCGTACTCTTCGTAGCTTTAAGAATAAAATAGACTTTGGAAAGACATTGACTGACTAAGTGGATATCCATAGACAATACGCTTTTGGCATAACTTGGCATTTCTTTCAGCTACATTTTATTTTGTTCTTTCAACTCCATTTAATAAATGATAGAAGGAATATTTAGTTTTAGATTGTACCTCCATCCAATTACATTTTATAGCATTTTAACCTTCCCAAGGCTACTATGTTATTAAGTTTTGATTTAATTTCATTTATTTTATTTCACATATAATAGATATTATACCTCCACAAACCTGACACAAATGTGGCTTGCCTGTTTCAATGCAAATGTTATTTTCAACAGTATGGCAATAAACTTTTCTATCTACGAGGAGAATGTTACAAAATGTGGTTTTAACTCTCTATTTCCATGTAATCATACAGTTGATCCTTCTAGAAAGTTACGCAGTGTTACTTTAGTTGGATGGAGCTCTTTAATACAGGATATATGAAAGCACACACACCAGAGCATTGAACTGCCATTATGAAATTAACATAGTTATCTAGAGCAGTATGTAGTATGATGTATTTAATTATAATGACATTAATATCTCACTGTCTGATTTACAGCATTTCGTCATTTCTTCAGTTGTAGTCTTGTAATTAATATATGATAAATGAGTTTCCCCGTAAGTAATGTAGATAGGTTTTAGGCATAAGTTTACATAATGTAGCTGTAGTGGGGATGGAACTTGATCTTAAAAGATATAAACGATACAACAAAATATCCCTAAAAATACCTAGCGTTCATGAAGTGAGAAAGGGCAACATGATGCCAAATGTGTTTTTAAAAGGAGGCAGGCAGCAACAAGAGATATTTTGGTACATATTGGTAGTGTTGAAGTAGAGTGCCCTAGATACACTTTATAAATTGAAGTTGGAAAGCAATAAAAAAGTTCTAACTGAAAAAAAAAAAGTTATTGAGGAAACAGGACTAGCTTTCTTAAAACTAAATTTTGATAGGTTCATACATCCACTGCTTGCGTTAAAACTTCAGGAAAGATGTATTTTTTAAAGGACCTATATTACACTTCTGATCTATGTTATAATGTTGTTTCTTCATCAAAAATATACCTGAATTGTGTGTGTGTGGGGTTTTTTTTCACACATGTTTATAACACATATATCCTGCATATCAAGGCTGAGCCTTTCTCTCAAATGGAACACCTCCACCTTTTGATGTAATACAGGTAATACAGGAAGTGCTCTACTGTGTTTTCAAACACCATATACCTTCACTAGAATCATTTGAATGCTTTCAGCTCTGGAATTACTTATCTCTACTGAACTGTCACTTCATGACATCACAAGGTTCAGAGCTGTCACCAGTGTTGGTGGTGACGTGTTGTATATAGCAAATTATGCAATGTCATACATAGGTGAAATGGGCCAGACATTCCACATTTGAAAAAAGGAACACTAAAAGGAATGTGAAAAGGCAACATCAGGGAGACTCATCAGAACACAAAAAGACAAAGCAAGGCAGGAAAACCTAAAATCCACCATATCAGACCACTGTAAAAAAAAAAAAACACATTATGGATTGGGACGGGGCTCGGGTCACTGGATCAGAAAACAACAAGTTCAAACGCTAGATTAGGGAGGCCAGTGAAATCAGGGACACCCTCCTCCAGAGAACACCGAGCGACGGGAGGCATGGTCAGTCTGAGCGACCTGCCAGGTCCATCAGGCTGACCACGCCTACAGGAAGTAACAACAACTGATATACGACACGTCACCACCGGTGACAGCTGTGAAGATGGCTTGTAGCAGCAGCCGAAACATGTCAACAAGGTAAATACACTTTACTGTATTGTCTTTAAAAAGAACCCAAGAAGTTAAAGTTGAACAGAGCATTTTGAGCTTTGGAAATGTAGACAACCAAATAATGCAAGGTTTCTCACACAAAAAATGTGTGAATGAAGCAAAACACAACTCCAGGTATGGTATAGGTTTTTGATGAAGTAGCAACATTATAACATGGCTTAAAGCTCACAAGAGTCTTTTAATGCACAACTGGCTCTGCTAAACCTCACATCTTAATATCATCTACTCATTTAGTGTTTAATTTGACAAGCTATGAAATATTATTATTAATAGTGATTAAACTACACTCAATAAATATTTACTGAAAGAGATGTGGCGCTGCAATAAATTTCAAATGCGGATAATCAACTTGGACAATTAATTAGGGCCAATCAGAGCTTTCATAAACAGAACAAATCAGCTGATGGAAATGTTGATTATTGCTGATTACAGACGGTCGCATGGCGCTTTGGAGAAAAAAGGAAAATAAAAATAGAAGTGTAAATTATTCAGTTATAGTTCAAACTACTTTTACATCTAGTTCTTTATGAAATGCTATGTTCAATATACAGTACAAAGTATTCATTGCTTGTACATAAAGGTGTTAGCGTTGCGGGTGACAGTAGTTCAATTGGTGGACATTTGTCCACTGATCAGCTCCCACAGATGAATGCTGCTATTGTGTCATTGGGCAAGACACATACCCCCACCTCGTCCCAGTGTCTGTGTACACTGGTGTATGAATGTTTGTGTGAATGGGTGAGTGGTCCCGTCATGTAAAGTGCTTTGAGTGCCTTGAAGATGGAAAAGCGCTATATGAAAATGTGAACATTTTCCATTTACTGTGGTTGTAAAACATGAATTATAATTATGTGTATCTTTCCATGGGGGTAGAAGTTTAATGCCATGCTACAGGACATTATATCTCCATGGAGACAAGCAGGTGGCAGAAAAGTTGCATATTTAAAGAAACATTGAACTTTACATTCAATTGTGTGAAAAAGAGTGATTTACCGTAAGTATTTGTTGTAGTTTCAAAATCATTATCAATATCAGCAATTGTCAAGTCTGAATTTTAGTATCATGACAATGCTAAAAGGGATTAAAACACACAAACCCAGCAACAAAAAACAACTTTGTGTCCCTTTTACATTCCAGTACAGTGTGAAGTATTTGCATCCTAGTTTACTTCATAATGGCCTGGTTGGACACACTTCCCACACTCACATATGCAGATGGGAGAGCTTGTTAGTTGAGCTCCATCCCACTGTTTAGCTGTTGAATACCTTCTGTTTTGGAAGCCCACACCACCGTGCATCTCATTTTATTGGTGGAATCAGCTTTGTGCAGCAAGGACAGCTTGTGCATTGCTGTCGACAGGTGAAGGATCAGCCTAAAAAGGAATTTAAAAATGCACATATTTATACAATTCCTGAATCATTATTTCAATTTGTGTTACAATTTATAGTGTTATGGTCACTGAATGAAAAGATGAGGTTAGCTTTAATTAAATGGAGTTAAATGCAGATAGATTTAAAAGCTGAGGGGGTCAGCTTTAGAGGAACATTTCAGAAATTCATTCCAATTAGTGTTGCAACATATTTTACACAGAAACAACAAACAACAATTTAAATAACTGGTGGTTGTAGGTTAGTGGTCCGCAACCTTTTTTCTCAGTGTTGTCACAAGAGTCTGTTTCAGGGAGCAGGTCCAGTTCCAGCAGTGCAAAATTCTCTACAACCCCTAATCCTGTATATTTTTTACTCACATTTGTTTGCTGTTTATTAGTTTAATTGGGACTATATTGTCATAGTAAAACACAGGGACATATCACAAGATTATAAAACAAAAATTCAAAGCATTTTAAAAGATAATAATGATTGGTGACAGGAGCCTAACCCACTTTGGATAGCTGCACTGAAGCCCCATGTCAAATTATACCACATGAATGACAATAGCGGTTCTCACGATAACTTCCTGAATAAGTTTAACAGACGAGGGGACTTCTAGCAATAATTTCTTTGATGACCCCTTGTGGCCGGAGCTGGCATTTCTGACAATATCTTGCAACGTTAAAGAAAAAGAAGGAGAAAAAAATTGAGCCGAACAAGAAATCTGATGGCCTGACATCTAGAGATAAACAAACCTACAATAAATTCGTGTTCCTTTTCCCTGCAGTACTGTGAACACAACCTTTCAGCTTTTATGACACTGAAGATTTAAGGCCCTCTTGCCCTTTTGCAATGATAAAAACCAGCCTAATGGTGTCTCAGGGGTTAATTAGATTGCCTGCTTTCACCGGTCTGTATATATTATCACAGCGCCCTGTAAACTTTATTATACCGTAATTCCTGGTGCAAAGGAGCACTCAACTTTTTACCCCGACCAAAACCAACACCAGCTGCTGCCTATAATGATCCAGATCTGGCCTGTTAATTAGCTCCGCCTTGATCAATTACCCACGTCAACCAATCAGGAACCGGCGTGCGTTAAAATGGCCACCAGACACACAAAGCTGAAGGGTGAAGCGACCTTGACCCAGTTAGCCAGTTAGCGAGTTAGCTGTGGGGAGCCTGCTATGGTCCCACCTCGAGCAGCTGTTGTAGCCCATACAGATCTATCACCTACACTTCTAGGGCTTGTTTACTGACCTGAGGGCTATTATTACACCGGGCCCGAGCGCCGCATACAACA